TCACGATCACCATCCTTATGAATAGGTGTGACATTAGCTGATTTCCATAATTTAGGTAGACAGCACTGTTTGAAAGATAAATTGAAAAGCATACTAAGAGGAACTGCAGATTGAAAAGGAAAAGTTGACAAAAAACTTAAATGGGACAAAAAAGAACTACTGCTGCCGGAAAAGAATATATCTGAAACTCAACACGAAACTGAAACCTCTTGAAGCAGGATGAGGATTAGAATAAATACGTCGAAAAAGGAACAGAATTTTATTTTAGACAAAAACAGAAAATTTTTAGCCTCTTGCAAGCGGAGTATTGAAACCTCAATCAAAAAAATAATGGCATATCGTTTGTTTGGGGAATATAAAACACACTGTCTGCAAAGCTGTAAAACTGCGATTTGAAAAGAAAGGCCAGACATTTACTAAACCTAAACAGCCAGCAAGAAAGGACATGATTTTCTGTCTAAAACAACTTCGAATCGCCTGCAAAGCGAAGAAGCTACGCGTTTGCAGGAAGGCAAAACATACCAATAGACAAACTGCAACAGACCGTAAACTCTTCAGCAATATTCAATCTTAAAGTAGAAGAATGCTCTCGAAATTACATAATTCTAAGTATATGTGAAAGTTCACAACTTACCACGTGTCAAGATTGCAAAGATAAACCCAGCCTTTCGAAATTTGACCTCATATCACCAAAGATTGGACTACACACGCTTTTATTTTGAAATTAAAACAAGAACGTCCCAGAATTCAACATGAAATGGCGGGAGCCCAAATTTTGCCGTTCAATTAAAAGCCGCTGCTCGCTTTGGTCATTGCCATCGCGCAGCAATTTTTTTTTTTTTTTTTTTTAATGCACACATACATATACAATTTACAATTTACATTGCATTGGCTAATACGAAAAACGTGATACAACTAGCAATTAGAATTGACCCGGTTCGAGTGCAGCCATGTTTGTGAACGGTCAGTTTCCTAAGCGATTTTTCTGAAGGACGGCTTCTGTAGTTGCATTTTTTGCAGATTTTTAACCAGTTTTTGAAACATTTTCATTGTTTTTTGTCGTTATAAATACGTAACTTGCGGCGGATCACATGATTGTTCTCATTTTCTAAACATTACTAATGGACATTTGCCTCCTAATAAAAAGTAGTTTTCGAAGATTATGTAACAACAAAAATGATGGAAAATGGTCCAGACCCTCAAGATATCACTGGAGAGGAGTCAGTCTTTTAAAAGATTAAGTGAAAGTTTATTCAACAAGCCGAGCTGGTATTACAATTCATTCTTGCGCAATTAGCAAGTGTGATCCCGCTCTACAAAGACTTAAGACGATACTATTTACATTTTAGAAATTTTCTAACTCGATGCAGTTGAAATCGGGCTTCTTCAAACTTCCATCCAGCACTATTTGCCGTTACTTGGGCGTGAATAAATGATCTTCTTTAACTACATCAAACCATTTACCGAGCTTGGAATAGTAAGAGGCGCTTTTTCAGAGTGAAATACCTGTTAGACAGACTATGATACAGGGTTAGAACAATATTCTCTACCAAAGATTTAATACTTTAGGTGTCAAAATCTGCCGCTTTGTACTAATAGAAAAAAGTTGGATCATTTTCCACAGCACTTCCACTGAGCCTTCAACTGCCAGCTGTGATTTACTTTCAACAACACTCCTTGAGCGTTCCCTAAAATATAGAAAGAATAAAAGAAAGAGGTTAACCGGAAGAAAAATATATAGGGTCCTGTAGCGTTCCCTTGGGGTAGCAATGACTGGGTCCTTGTATAGTAGTAGTAGTAGTAGTAGTAAAACTTTATTAAAAGTGTCAAGAGCCGTCTAGCTAGGGAAAAATCCCTTATGTTCTTAAAAAGAAAAAGGCAATGCCTTTCTCCGTCTACAAATATAGATGAGGGCGCTGAAAAATTGTCAGGGAAACCGAACGAAACAATATTGCTAGAGTGTAACCTGCCATGCATTAGAATCCTATTCTGGTGCAGTAGTATTTTACGGCTGACAGTTAGAATTTTGGCCATTAAACGGCGAACAATTAACACGAAATACAAAATTTATGGTTGATATTATCTAATGACTTACGGTTAACTGTAAATTTTTTCGCCTAACGGCTAATTTTTTTTGGCCGTTATACGGCTAACAGATAACCCCATTGAGACCCTCTCCATACTGTTCTCTCTACATTTCCTTAGGAGCTGACGAGGAGAAATTGTTTAACAATTAGAAGCTTCTTTAGTTGGTGATCATTTGCTTTATTCTTGTGATTTGTATTTCTGCTTCAGGGCTGATATTCTGAGGAAAAACTAGGTCTCAGTCACTTGTAGGAGTTAAAAGATTAAAAGGCGTATAAACTGGGTTAAGCTAAGTCAATGTTGAGTCGCTTGAGTCGTTTGCGACTCTACCCATTGATGAAAAATTCATCAAATACCTCGTCTGGCTGTCTATAACGCATCTAGGTGAAAGTTACAACTTTGGTTAGAAAATAATAATTATCAAGGCAACTTCCCTTATTTAGATCATTTTTTTTTTTTTTGAAAAGTCCACTTTATTTAATTCAATTTATTTTTAATTTAATTGTAACACAGATTGAATGCTGAGAGAGAGTGGGTTTGTCAATGAGATCAACGCCATGAGGGAATTATGTCAAAGAATACATGTAAATCAACGCGAAATACAAAGCACAAGGGTTGTAGGTAGGAGTCCTTTCTCAAGTTTGAGACACAGTCATTGTCATCATCATATGTATCTCATATGCATCATCATTGCCTGCTTTTCATGGATGGAGCTCCTCAGAGACATTGCTCATTATCTGAGGGCCTAATGAATGAAATGAACTTCACTTTAACCCGGACTACTCAATCTGGAAGCCTTCGTGAAAACCACTGGTGCGAATATGGAAACAGAAGAATTACCTCCCCATTTATTAGGATCCTTTCCCTTGGTCTCGGCATCTCCAGGATCCCCACTGTTGGCATTATCTTGCTTGATAGGGGTGAAGCTTAAATCTCTCTTGGCCTTGTCCCAAACGGCTTGCTCTATTCCATACCAGGCCCCTTCCTTGCCTCGTTTGCGCATATACGCCCAGTTGTTACGCGCAATGCCATACAAGTCGTCTCCAGCCTTACCAATGATATATCCCACTTGTTGGTCCACAGCTAGAGAGATACATGAACAGAAAACAGTTATAAAAATGAAAGTTTACAATCTCCTAAAAAAATCGATGAATAAAGCTAAATAAAGAATAACTGGGCCTCACTTAAGTTTCTTTTTCAGACGAATAATATACTATGACGTTACACGCAGAGAAAAATTTTAAGAAAAGAAAAAAAAAGAGAGAGAGAGAAAGAGTAGGGAGAAAAAGGAAGAAACGGGAAATAACGCAAGATAGAATGAGTACTTCAAGAGGCTTTGATCAAAGCTCCAAGCACCAGAAAGAGTACACCGGGATTGTTGCAATTTTAGCACTGAATTCACACTGTTGCGGCTAGTCGACGCGCGGCCGTCGCCTGGGTTCCCATTTGGTGTCGAGGCCACTGTCACTCTCTGCATCGCTCAGTTTTTCTCGATTTTTGGTCGTAATGTTGCGTTAAGCATTGTAAAGTTTACGATGAGTTTTCTCGAAGCCTTCGTGAAGGTTTTTTGTTTTTAAATTTTTGATTTTACATGGTTTGTCACTGTTCGCGGCAACACACACACTTCCACAGCAATGAGTAATATTACGATTGAGCAATGACAACAATCCGGGATTGCAGTGGTAGTTCAAGAATACTGGTGCCATACTCACAACCAATCAGACGCAAAACTAAAAGCTAAAGTTGCGACGTGGTCTCTTCTTGCATTCCTGAGCTTCCAGTCGCCTGTTTTGTTTTGTTAAAATTTCCATTGACATAGTGCAATATTAACTGTACTTTAAATAAGGTTTGTTTTACCTTGGTATTTTTTTCATCTCAGTTTGCAACAATTAATAGAAGGACTCTAAATTCATAACTAAAAGGCCAACTCATCTCCCTTTTTCTAAACTAGAGCATTATGTAGTGGAAAATAAAGCGTATCCCCTTTACCAGTCCAGGAGGAACCTTGGTCGGCTGTTGAGAAGCAACTTGACTGCAACCTAAAGTAGAAAAGGAGAAAACTGGAAAGCTCAAGGGATTCGTATTGACAGGTATGGATTGTCTAGAACGGGTTTTTCTTAGAGTTCTACCCTACGAAATAAAAGTTTAATAAGACAGCCAAACGAATAACCGATCGTTCCCAGTCTGTGGTGGATCAGACTAGCATCAAGGATAAACTGGAGTTCGACCAGAATCTTGAACTTGTAAAGAAAATGTTTTTATAGCAGACAACACTGACCTCTCGCTTGATTTCTGGCACACGTATAAAATACCAAGGTCTTCGTCTACAAGAAATCCTCTGTTATAAATCTCTAAATGGGAGAATAACAAGGAATATCAAATTTCCATTCCGGTAAAGATTCCTGTTCATTGAAAATGTGGTCTAAGGGGTCTCGCGGGTAGAAAAGATGAATAACATTGAAAGCTGGGAATGTAGAATTCCAAGGGAATCAGACATTGAAATTACCCAAGTTAAACTTTCTTTCGAGTTAAAATTTCGTCATAGGGAAACATGAAACGGGTAAGAAATAAGACACACCTTTAAGTTCTGTATTAGTTTGTTCCGGAGCACCATCACCTAAGTGGAAAAAAACAAAACTTAAACTGACCGTCAATTTCGAATGTATCCGTCGAATGCGATTCATATGACTACACAAGCGATAGATTACATTTGACGCGGAAATACACGGACAGAAGCTAACAGTAATTAAGGACCTTCCACAGTAAGTACGGTAACGCCGAGGAAGATTGATTGATTGATGGAAAAATCAATTCACTATCTTAGTTAGAATTTCGTGATTGGCTAGATGTGTTTACCGTCTCTTAACGCTCGTGAAGTTTCAAATTAAGTGGAATATTTTACTATCTTACCTGGCGACTTGAACTTAAAAGAGACTGGTACAAGTGGAGCTCCGTACACCGCTGACACACTGTAGGGGCTGTATGTCAGTTGTATCGGCGACACAGCGTAAGTATCACCCGGGGGCATGACTCCTTTTGGATCCAGCGTCCCCTCGACTGAGAACGACAAACGGTCCAAGAAATGCAGCTTCTTGTCCAGGAACTAGAAATAGATCATGCGAGGAAATCAATGACTTTCAACATTGACAGATACCGCTTTAATTGATCCCCGCGTCGCTCGTTGCAGAATGTTCATTGGTAGGGCTACCGTGAGGAAACAGATCGAGGTGCGTTGATTATACATAGTAATCTACTAGACGGTTTCTCAAATTCTGAAGGGGAGAGGGGGGAGTAGTAGCTGGAAGGAATGTTGTGACATGCGTATTTGGATTGTGTTTCATTTCCGTTTGTCCGTTCGTTGACTTCGTTAATCATTTCCTGAACGGGGCCCAAGTCCAAAACCTTTCTAAGAAAACGAGTTTTATGGTAATTGGTTTAAACCGGGGGTTAACACGAGATCGTATAGCCTGATCGACCAGGTGAGGGTAGTCCTGAGAAGGCCTGGGTGGTTGATAGAGGTGACTGACGTTTCGACAACCTGAGCGGAAGTCATTGTAGGAGTCAAGCGAAGGGTTGTTGTTAGTCGTGTGTTATAATTTTGGTTCGTGTAAAGTGATTGGTCAGGGTTAGATCAGCCGTAATTTTATTGACTATAAGACTCAAGTGGCGTACGTCAGTGGTGATTGGTCAGTTTCGATGCGTCGGTAATGTTAGGTCCTACTGTTCGGTTTGTTTGTGGTGTAAATGTCGTGAATAAGTAGTTTGTAAGATGCCACACAAGCTTCTCTAGCCCTAAAAACAGAGGTTTTGCGTATCTCTAAAATCGTTTATGTCAGTCTTGTTTATTGTTCGTTCTCCCAGTCATCAGGTGATTGTCCTGTTCGTCAGTTATTCTGTTCTTTGCAGGCCATCCAATCATTTTTCTTGGATTCTTAGTACCCAAGGTTCTTCACAGCCTGATTAACTTGGTCCTGCTGTCTGTCTGCTTTTCCTTCCGTAATTCAGTCAATTAATGTACGTCGTGTCAGTCTTCCTTTCGGTCGGTTTATCTGTGTGTCCACTTGACTCTGCACGTGTCTCTATCCATTTATCCATGGGTCTGTGTATCAGTTCGTTTGTCTGTCTGTCTGTCGGCCGGCCTGTGTCTATCTGTATATCTGTTCGTCAGTCTTGCCTACCTACAAGTATACCCTCCACCACTGGTTTTTTTATTATTATTATTTTGACACTCTCGTGGCATGCTTTCGAATTAAAAATATTTTTATCTATTAAGCTACTCACGCTAAACTTGGGGCCTTGTTGGGTTTCGTCGTAGCTAATTCCAGAACTGTAATTTTCTTTGGAATAGCTAACATAAGGTGGCAGCATCCAGAACACTTTAACATTTTCTGCATATTGCTGTGAGTCTTCATGATGAGACACTATTCCACGGAAATAAACTTTAGAGCTGAAAGCAATTCAGAAATTTTGAATCATCTTGTCCATTCATAAGTCAACCACATTAAAAGTCAATGTAGACCAAGGTTTGATTTTCTTTTTGAAATCAAGAGCGCCGTTTGATACAAGCGAAAAGGTAGATTTTCATTTCTGATGATACAGTGTTCGCTACGTACAGGAGAAAAATCTCCACAAAATTTTATGCGAATAGTCTGAATAGCTTTGACTTTCCTGTCAAGCTAAGGTAATTTTTTTTGCTTGCTTATAAGAAAAAGCTCGATAAAATCCCCCATTACAGTCTCGAAGCTGGCAGGGTTCGAAGATCATGTATACCTTCGTTAACAGATTAATCTGGGCGAAGGTGAACTTTTTCCAACGAAGTAAGATGAACTGAAATACGACGTGCCGATTTATCGAGTGGGACTGGAGGGCCGGACGATAAATATTTGGTTCGAGGTCGTGAATTACAGACCGTGCGCAGCGATCTGGGCCGGGTTGTTCAAAGCTGGATTAAGATAACCCAGGGTTACTTCATATATTCATTGTAACCCAGGGTTAGTCTGAGATTTGATTTCAGATCTAAAAGCTCTAAAAGAAAATTCAGTTTAATTCACTTGTCTACAATTTGATGATTGAATTTCCTAGAAAGAATTAGGAAAATTATCCCAAAACGGCTTTTGGTCAGTGAAATTTAGAAACCTTGATTAAAATTTAACCCTGGGTTAGTGCTAATCGGCCTTTGAACAACTGGGCCCCTGATTTGCACTTAGTGTAGAATAGTGTTGGCGCCAGAGCGTTGTCCCATGGGGTCTGAGGACCAATCCCCCCCTCATACTGTCATTTCTGCTTTACTGATTTAATATTCAATTTCTGCTTCTTGCATATTTATTGAATCTTTTGTTGAGCCTAATTTTAATTAAGCTGTTTTAGTGTCCACACACTGGCCGCCGAGACTAGCTCTGCTATTTGGGGGTAGTGCGTCATTATGCTAAGTGTCATGTCATGTCTGATTACGATAAAGTTGAAGTTGAAGTTGAAGTTTGAAAGTTGGTTTCAAAGGACAATTGATAGCATAACAAGCGACCGATCGATCTTGGAATCATTACAGCCGGGTCATTTAAATTCACGAAAGAAACGCATCATTTTCCAGAACAACCGACTGCCCTAAAGCGAGCGACTGACCGTTCTAGAAAATATTTCAATCTACACCTTTGGTGAAAGAACAGCAACTTAATTATTATTCAAATTCACAAATCAATTAGCATTTCATCTTATGATCTGACCACCGCTCTTCTGATTCATTTTTTCAATAAAAGCGCGGGGGGTGGGGGCGCACGGGTACTACCTGATAGTAGCTTATAATGTTCGGTGGAACCCCTCCAGTCCTTTTAAACCAGATTGGATACACATTGGATACATTATCAGTTTAACGTCAATCAGAGCGGAAGTGGAACATTTGCTTGCGCGGTACGATTTTTTGCTTATTATACAAGCAGCGAAAATAACAAAAGCTACATACTAAAGATCAGAAGAAAAACTCTTACCACATAAATCAGTCATCTAAATTACCTTTTATCCAAAGTTGTCGAATCTTTGCAAGTCAAATTTGAATTTGGCAGAACGCAAGAAGCTTCAACCTGTAATATTGGTCTTCTGTCTTGAGGGACATCAGCAATGAGCGCCACATCACCAATCCACATCATGCGTTTGCCACCTCGCACCCCAACCCCTACCCAGTGCTTGGAGCCATTTGTCACGTTGGCGTGGTCGTTCACAACGATTTCAAACTCAATCTCGATCTTATTTTCGGGAGCGTCTAAGTCCCCGGCAATATTCGCGACCTCACCGAAATCGATCGAACCACGGTCGTGAAGCTTCGGGTCTCCAACGGTTGAGTTGAGAACTGCCTTCACCTTGCTAAGGTTGTTGTTGTTTGCGATATTATTCCCCACACTTTTGACTTCAAGTGAAACCAAAGACATGATTGAGGTCCCGTTCACAGGGAGGATGACCTGCAACAGTATAACAGATTCTCTTGGCATTGCGGTAGAGAATGGCGAGTGATGAAGAGTGTCGTGGGCTAACAATACCTCATCGTAGGCTGTCGTCACCGAAAGAAAAAGCGGTGAGCGCACTAACTAAAATGGGTGATTAAGGTTAGAAAGCAAGACCAAGGGTGACTAGGAAGGACGGCCATCGATCCCAGTCTTCCAGTCTTTTTACTTGCTCAATGTAGAATTACTTTCTTCCCTCAGTTCTACGAATCAATTTCTTTGATGCGCTCCAGAAAACTTATCATAGTGAGTTGGTATAGATGCCTCTCAGCGCAGGTTTGTGCGTGACCATAACTGGATAGTTTATGTGTTTGTCTAATTATGTTTTTGGATATTCCAAATGCCCTGAGTGGATAGAATGTTAGTGAAAAGCTTCATTTCAGCTAGTAAGAAAGAGAAGCCATTGTAACGTTTTGTCAAGGAAAAAAATCAATGTGACCACGGTGAATCAGTGTGGGACGGTCTCTTATTACTATCAGCATTAATCTCAACATGGATGGCGTTAATCCTTATCAGAACTTTTGCTTTACTCTGTCTTGAAAAAAGTCAGAATGCTAAAAGTCGTTGCTTCTTCCAGAATTAAGGTGTTATAGAAATGTTTCTCTCATTAACAGCTTAAACTAAGGGATCATTTACCTCTACTTTCAAAGTGGATTTCATTTTTCTCATCAGGATGGTGAACTTGAATTTGGCGCGGCCACCAATGCGTATCTGATTAGATGAGTTGCTCAGTTTCAAAGAGAAGCCTGGGACCCCGGCCACGTAAGCTGGCGAAGGCTGGTGACTGGTATTGAGCTTTTCAACTCCTCTCATGTTCTCGTATTTAAGCTGCATGAAAATGTCCAGGGTCTCCAGAGGAGAGATTTTGTCACTGACTTCCAGGTCAAGTTTTCCGGTAATCTCCTGGCCTAAAAGACGTGGGTGTTAAGTAAACTAACCGCAACCATGCAATATACAATATGAGACCTGTCGTGCCTAATGTGTTATTTGCGCATAGCTTTACTTTTTGTAGGGTTGTGCTATTGAGAATTTCAGCTGCGCGTGACTATTAGAAATATATCGCGTCTCCTGGATTATTGATGTTACGTGTCAAATGATCTCTATTTAGAGAGAGTTCGTTAAGCGCGAAGTTCGCGAATAAAATACGGTTTTCTTGGACGTACGTGTTAAACAAATTTCGCCAAGGGTCTCGGAGAGTTTCTACGTTCAACTCATATTATTGGAGTGTACTTGGAAGTCTTTACAAGACGCTGTTTAGAAACACCACATTCGTCGATGATTAGAACACCTTCCACTTGGTTTACCTCCTACAATTCTAGTTGAAGATCTGCCCATTATTCAAAAATAGTGAGCGCGCACCTCAATTCTTTCAATATAATAAAGTTGGAAGAAATAGAGCACCGAAAATTTATTAATGATATCAACAAACTGTAATTCTGAAACACTGTAATCAACTGACTTCGACCTTTTATTTTTTTTACAAACCTTGTTGAAGGATCAAGAAGGTGTCTCCACTCGAATGAAAGTCATCTATTCTGGTCAGTGGTAAGCTCGTGTTTGCTGACTCATTGTAGTAGACACTTTGTAAAATTTTCAGAGTGTTGGAATGGAATGATATTCGCACGTTTTTGGCGTCTTCGTAAGACGTGTTCTCCAAGTGTTTCACAACCCAGGTAACGGACAGTTTGTCTCCGATCAGGTATCGATTGCTGGTAGTGTCGTTGATGGTTGTGAATTCGGCCGTTAACGATGGCTCACTCTGCTCGTGGAAGTTACGATGGGGAAAAGAGAAACGCTACTATCAATAACTTAGAGAGTCGCTAAAGAAAATATTTTTCTTGTATTTTGTCAAGAAAAAAGTAGCTAGACATCGAGATGAACTCTTTCGCAACTAATTTCATATATTACAGATATGGTATAGGGCATGTTTTTAAATGGCTAGTAGCGCCCGTGAGCAAGATGAAGCGAATCTTGTGTTTTCAAAGGCCAACTGAGCAGACAAATTTTGATCCCAGTCCATCAAAACTCAAAAAAAAGAACTTGGCCAATGTCCAGCCATCTTGACCTCACGCTTGGGCAATAGCGCATACATATTACCAGCTATTCTTAAAAAATACATTTTGTACTTACGCACCTTGTACACAAACAGAGCCTCTTGTCCAACCCACAGCATCTGATATCCACTGCGCATGCCTGCGCCTACCCAATGTTTAGAGTTATTGGCCAGCTGGGGACGATCTCTTATGGTCACATTGAAATCTATAACGATTTTGTTCTTGGACGCATCGTTGCCGGTGACCTTCAAGGAGACAGATGGTAGAGCGGAGGTTAATAGAGTTTTAAACGTAATCTGGGGTTACTGTGGTTTTGTATTAATAAGCTTTGTGGCTTTTCGGGAATAAAGTATTTTGCTACCGTCTTTCGTCAAAAAACTAAAATCCATTTTTTTCTAAGACTTTCAATCAAGACGACGTCCGTTCCTTTAAATTAGTTTGTGTAAAATGTCGTCGTTTCAATGCTTTTAATTCTTGTACATGTTAAACAACTGTTTCTCTTATTCTTTTTTTTTTTTAGCATGGGAGCTTGTAAGTGGGTTTGGTTTCAATTTTGTCTGCTTTTGGGGGATAGGGTAAGGTAATTTACCTTGTAAGGGACAACCTTGTCCTATTGTAAATTTACCTGCCGTTGGCAAATTGTTAAAAAAAATAAATAAAATAAATACCTTCTCAGCCAATCAGTGTCAAAAAGCAATTATGACTTGGCCATTCAAATTTCCCGCGAGTTCTCATTATCTCTCTGAGTTATTTTCCTTGAAATGTGCTCCAAACGGAAGTAAGATGCACACGAGCGCTACTTCGAGAAAGGTGTAAAAAAGCGAATACTCTTGGAGCCCGAACTGGAAACGCACGATCGTCACTGGCTTAACGGTTCGAAAACGGTTTTTGCTTAAAAGGTCAGAAAAATTCATCCCTAATTACCTCATTTGTTCTCGTCGACCTCGTCAGAGAGTGGGAAATTACGTGTACAGAGAGGACTTAAACGAGTTAATCCTTAATTGTGAGCTGAAAATTTCAATTTGTAATTGAACGTAGGTGGTATTTACAACAAAACTTTAAAAATATATATTTCAGACGTGAGATTCGTTAGCTAGGTATGCTATTTTGGAAACTATTCGCATCAGGCTCAGTGAATATTGTTGAATAGTCTCCCCCGGCGAAGTCGAGGGGATTATTTAGCGATATTCACTAAACCTGAGGCGACCAATTGTTAAATTTCTATCTCATAGAAAGTCTTTTTCACTTACAGTTAAATTACCAAAATCTAGAACAGCGCGGTCGTGAAAAGGCACTTCCTCGCTGGAGTCATACGAAGCTGTAGGATGTGGGACAATTTGTCCAGCTGTAGTTTTAATGTTGGTTCCAACGTCCTTGACCTGTACATTGTGCAGCTCCATGAAGGAGAAGTCGTTGATGTTGGTCGTTATCTCGACGAGCAGGGAAAAGTCCAGATTGGGCATGGTAATGGTCATGCTATAACCTGTCGTATTGCCCACCCACAAGTCTGCAAGTCATTTCAAAAGAAAACATTAGGTCTGTAGGTAGTTGTATTGGAGGGAAAGATCTGCAAGACGAACGATAGGGCTGAACTTTGCGATATATTGAGCCACAAATCTACAAATTCACATGTTTCCTGGGCAGGTAAATTCATCAAATCAGTCGGTCAAATGTATCTGATAAAGAGTCTGAGGACATTTTTCAAAATGAAAGCAGAGCAAAATGTATATTTATATTTGGTATACACTCGATTGCAAAAACGTTGACACCTGGAAGGCATGACTCATGAACGAAGAGACCCTATGGACTCATGGGAATATGAGCATAGTTACACCATCAATGCTTCATTACATTACTTTCATTATTCCTTACATACTTTGTTTTTGACAATTCTTTTCTTTCAGGATAGCATGGATGGCTTCTATCGTTTACCAAGTGTAACTCATGTACACGTGTACCCACAAAGCAGTCAGGTCATTGCCTACGTCTTTTTAGGGTCAACGTTTTTGCAATCAAGTATATACCTCATAGGTTTTTTTCCGTGTGGCATGTACTTAAAACCGTCGATGATTCATCCCAATGTCGGTGAAAGTTGTTCACCTCTACTTCGGTGAATAGTGATTCAGTAAAGTGAACTATCTTGCACAGTCAATTCACGAATCTCTGAGGGAAAACCATTGATACTTACACGAATAGTCAATCCTTGACAGCGACACAGTCGGAAAAACAGCATATAGGGTTGGTTGAGAGGAGGCCGGGCCATAGTGGTAATTACTACCACTGACGCCGTTACCTGTGACTAACACAGAGAAGAAGAGATTCGCCAAAGGTTGAATCGAGCTTTTAACAGTAGCGTTGAAAGCGACGGACACCGTTTCTGCACTTGCTAACCCTGAAATGTCGAAAGAAATTGCACTTGAATTGTACGCGGCCCCCGTGACACCTCCGACCAGAGAGTTCTGCTCAGGTTCCAGAAACTGGGACCAAAGAACGACTTTAAGTTGGGTTTTAAGGTCAGCAGTTACTGATTGGTTGTGAGTCAGGTTAAGGGTGAACTGAATCTTGTCGCCTGTGTTGTAATAGGTGATATTGTGGATCACTGGGCTGAAGTCTGCTTTGAGTGACTTGGAGACAGACGAAGGCTGAAAAACATGAGTGATAATTATAGGTGAAAAGTTAATTTTTTGTTTCCCGTTTTAGAGTTACCATCAGTTGTGAAGTTAAACTACTAATTAAAGATCCCAACCTTTCGACTGCTCTGCTGCCAGTCTTTTAAACAACATGATCATTTTTATTTTCAAAATTCAAGTTAAACGTTTTAATTTTGGACTATTTCAGTGCAGATCTTTTAACTTGTGCATGGTCAATAATCCCGATATTTTTTTTTCTTAGAAGGAACAATTACTGCAAACTTGTATTTGTATGAATAAGCATCTTCTCATTCAAATACCATGATCCAGGCGCCATGAGCTCATGGATATGGCGTTATAGAAATCTCTCGTTATTACTAAAGATACGATTGTCAGTTTTATAAGAATTATTATTATTTACATATGATATGGCCCGTCTAACAATATGATGCATTTCGCCATCATCATTACAGTCTTCTTGGAATCCGCTGCTGCAAGCTGCATCTATGAAACAATTTCAAAAAAGAATAACTCTGTTGAGTTAATGATTAAAATAATACCTCTTAGCCTAATTCGAAAAGGGAGAGGAAAAGAAAAACGAACTGCTTGATAATGACTAAGTGTGTTGTCATTAACACTATATTTTATGGAAAATTTTACACGGGAGTAATTAAGGTGGGGCAGGGGGAGGCAAGGGGAAAGGGGAAAGCAGGGAAGCGCATTCAATGGGAACCATTAAAAACACCTGCACATTTTATAAGTGAATTGCCGTGAGCCAAATATAGACTGAAGTCAATCTCTTAACATTAAACTTATCGAAGCTTTGACGATTTATTTTTATCCTCGTCAATCGAAAGAGACAAAGGTATCGATGAAAGTTCACTCGCCAGCCATTTGCCTGAGCCGAGTCAAGTTTTCCCCATGGTGAGACATCCTCGCTCATGAATATAGAGACCAGTCAGTATCTATGGTCCAAAGGTGGGAGGGAGAGGGCTCGAAGGATTTTAGGGGGGGATCACATGGTTTTCAAGGGGAATGGAAGGGGTATTAGTCGTTACCAGTAGAGTTTTTCGGGGGAACTATAGAAAGTTGAATCCCAATTACCTGCCAGTGAGGGAGGTCATAATAATTTCACAGAAACTAATGGAGGATCAGGTAATTTTCTCACGACACGACCAAAATCCTTTAACCCCTCTTCCCCCCCTCCCCTCCCTGCCCCCAGGTGATAAAAAAAATATAGTTATCGGTCAATAAATGGGCTCATTTAGAAGTACTTCATGAAAAGGATTGATTTTTATTTATTACCTCTGTTTATCCTTTTAATTTGAGATGAAAACCATTACCTGGGAACCACTATTGACTCAACGGAGCATGACTACTTTAACTTAAACAGCCTCATTCCTATGGCAACCTAAATTAATAGTAGAACAGTAGCTGAGGAGGAGGAGTTCTGACACCATGTAAAAATGATGTGGAGATACTTTGTACTAATTTGAAAGAGAAAAAATCAGTCTAAGGGATTAAAATCACCTGCCAAACCTTTCAAGATAATTTCCCCAAAGTGACCCGCATGTTCCGTTATCGAGGGACATTTTGACAAGAGAGTACATTAAGGCAAACATTGAAACAAACATTTGAAACTGGTAAGGTTTTGCCAATCGGCGCAGAAATTCTCACCAACCGGGTTTATACTCCCATATAAGAATTGAAAGTCTTTTTTCACACCTATTATTAACAAATCCCTTTGGAAAATTTCTCTGTCTCATTTACGTTACATTGTAAGCTGAAATTTGAACATGACTTAGCAGAATTTTAGCTAGGCCTGATAAATATCCTTTCTTCTTTCTCAAGTTAGAGTCGTTGTAATTTTCATGGCTAATCCGAACAGCAAAGTCCCCATCCTCTTTTTGTCTCTGAAATAGTTTATTGTTTCTTGACTATAGAGACAAATAGCTATTTTACTTTATTCCAAGGTAAAATTAGTAATTTTGCCCATCCTCATGACGAAATGTTGTCGGCGTAGAAATGCATGGCGTCCACAAATTTCTCTCCATGTAATTCTCATTTCAGGCAAACGCAGTCTTTCAGAGTTTGATTCCACCATGTTCATTACTCGGCCGTTTTCGGTTAATTACGACGATTTTTAAGTCACGTCTATCAGAACTTTAAGCGTTTTCAAAAAAGCTGCACAGAACCAAATATTAGCATCGAAAAAATATATACCAGCTAATCTCGGTTCTAGAGAGGATTTGAACAACGTTCTGTTGCGAATTAAGCATACTGTAATCGCAACCTTCTTCTTAGTTTATTTAGACAGAGTTCATGACCGACAGGGAAAGACACCCATTTCAAAACCCCCGCTGATTGACTAAGATAAATGGCATCGAAAAAATCATACAAAATATGGAGCTTTACATGCAGGAAAAGAAAGGGCCTATGAATCCCGAACATATTCGCGAACGCTAGTAGTGTTGAAGGGAGCTCGTCAATTCACACTATTTTATGATTTCTTCAAACTTTACATTACAAACGCTGATCTGTCTATAAGTAAAGATATCTGATGATAGTGGCTTACAGAAGAACATGGCTATTTAAGTTTATTTCAAAGCCAAGTATCATAAAATACGGGAAACTTTCATCAATATGATTTGGTTCCGCTTGAAAATTTTCAATCAACCAATTTCTTTTGTGTATAAAGGTGTCGCAAGGCAGTCCTCTGTTTTAAGAAAATTGCCATATTATACTCATACAGAATAAATGAGATTGTTAATCTTTTAGCATCAGATTCAGTCTCAAGCTAGCTTTTCAGAGACTGCATAAACGTAATCTTTTCGGATTTAAAAATATACTACACACCGGGGACTCTTCGCCTTTCGCTCGTTAATAATGTATAACAACGGAAAATTATACTAAGTCACGGGCGATTATGCAGTATTTCCCCCTCCTCCGAAATTAGCGCTGCACGTCGACTAGAAACCTTAAAAACTGAGATACAAACTTCGCGAAATGCTTGTGCTTTTTTAGAAACGATATTTCATCACGGAAGAAGTAGCGTCTTTTGGAAACGAAGATTTCATGCTGGTGGTATGGAATATTCCTTCATTTTCTAAGGAAGCTAAATATTTTTCAATCGTAAAACAAAAACATCTGTTGGATGTATAATAAAAAATTCGACAAGGCTTATTCTTGTTCCAGACTTCTGATAACGGAAAATTAAAATTTCATGTTGAATTCAAAAAGTTTTGTCAGAGAAACTAGTTATATATAGGACTCGCAGTTCAGCGTCTAAGAAATTTTTCAGACTCGCTTCTGAAGTAGATCGTTCGCCAACGGACCAAGATTTATTACATCGCAATCTTTTTCGTATTTTCTTTGACCGTAATTCGTAATTTCTGGATTGTTGTAGCAATAAAAAACCGGCGAGAAATGGCATCTGCGGCTGTAAAATTTCGATAAATTGCGGTCAAGGATTAATACAAAATTTCCCTAATGTCCATCGAGGATTAAGCATAGATACAAAAACAGAATTATCCTTTTATACTTACATGCGATAGGTCTTCCGGTGAAGAATAGAGTCAAGAAACAAGAAAAAAGGAGATAAATTCCCCAGATCGAGAAGATACCCGCAATCATCTTTAGTTAAGTTCTGAGAAAAAGCGCGTTTTAAACCATGAAGAAAATTTTCTCGAAATATATTACACTTCCACCTGTCCACTGCTCTAGCGGACAGATCTTCGCTTGGAGAGATGTTCAAGGCTTGAGTTGTAAGAAGGCTGTCTTTGGCCTCCTATTGGGTGAATCTGACACTTGGCACTAACTATAAATTTGAATTTCAAAGGAGAGTCAACAACAGATATGCAAATCCCCTGGCCGTTCACGCTTGTATAAACAAACTGAAAAAAATTCGGCGATATTCAGGAAATTGTTCAGTTTCATCTTTTGGTTCTTAAAGTACAACGAAAAAATGACCGATTCTTTTTACAGTAGCTTTGAATGAAACTCGTGAAACGGAGTTCTACCAATACAGCTGCATAACAAAGCTCGTATCCTAATAAAACCAAAGGTTTTGTTAACAGCTATACAAGGTAAATTACACAGTTAAAAAATTAATTGAATGATGATTGGTTACCAAGGAACGGAATTGTCTATTTTAAATTGAGACAAAAAAAGCTCCCCGTTCTCTGGTTAACTTGGACACTTCGGGTGGCCTATTAAAGAAAGATCTAGGATGAATGTATAAATCATTTAATGATCTGGCTGTGTAAAGCGTTCCGATTCTAAAAAGATCGAAAATCGAAGTTAGATTTTTATCAATTTTGTGGTAAAAACCGTTTTAAGTCTAAGTGAGCAAAGTCAGTTTGGCAGTTTCTTAGTGAACATCGACAAACTTAAAAAAAAAATTGCGACCTTAATAGATGATTTATCATGTCAACCTAATTTATTTGCAGAAAATTAATTGACCAGCTGCTTTTTCCTGGTGAAGAAGAAGAAGAAGAAATATTATGTAATTAACCCATCCTCTCTAATAAACCTCTCGTATGAAGCTTCCATTAAGTTTTCATGAGCCCTCCTTCAAGCTGTGCGACAGAACAAACTGTACTCTTAAAATCCTGTACCCGCTACATAACTCTTGTCAAAATTAAAGTAGTTAAGAATCGTTCGATCATTGTTGTATCCAAATACTTGTGTGAAATATGTATGTTATTCCAATCCCTTTCAATGTGGGTGTTTCAAGGTTACCCCTCCCCCCACCTACTGCCCCCAAGAAATATGAAAAACAACTGCAGTTCAGGTTTCTTATCAACATTACAGAGGGAAGGGGGGGGGGTGGAGACCATTTGTCTTGACAGTTCATTTTCAATAATTTTTTCGTGTGTTTCCTAAGAATTTTGCCGAGGATTGCAGTTTGACTTTTAAGTGATGTAGGTTATCAACGAAAGGTGAGCTGAGAAACATTTCGAGACAAAAATGATAACTCGTAAAATTCTTCTTTCCGAGTGACTTTTTACGGAACCCTATTCCCACGAACGCTCCGGTCAAAAGCCCCCCTAAACATTTTCAGCTCCCCCCCAACTCAATTGGGGGGCACTCATATATGTACTAATACAGACTTTTCAGTAATCAGCTCTTTTAAAAGGTATCAACGTCATCAAGAGAATATAAACTGTTTACAATCTCTTGCCGCCACAATTGTTTGTCTTGAGATCATGGGAATGGAAAAATACTTCGAAAAACATGTACAAATTCGTCCTGCTTCCCACGCATTTGCCGTCTTACCTTGGTGGCATGTTGAAGAGCTCAAACGGCATCTGGCCCAGAAGACAGTTTTGAGCCCCTTTTAAGCCTGAATTTTTTTCAAGCATCACATCTTTGCATCTCTTGCAACCATTCCTTGCATCATTCTTTGCATCTCTTGCAATCATTCTTTATAATCGTTACGGTGGCCAATTTATCATTTCAACTTTGTTGATAATCCAAATTATTCTTTTAAATCTACTCTTTGTTCGGAATACTTACATTCTTTTTTAATTTCATAGTGTGCGTCTAAGACTTGTTCATTTTTACATATTCAAACTTCGAGGAATGTTATTTTACGTGGTGCGGACCTATTTATGGGAGATGGAGATTGAGGCGAGTATCTTTTGCAATGCATCATGGTATGCATATGTTACCTAGCAACCGTTCAAAAGCAAAGGAGATGGATACAAAAGGCAAGCAACAAGAAGCGTAGCTGTAATACAGGGGAAATCTTTAAGAGAATCCACGATCTAGCCAGGTTGCGGTTGTGTATATATCTTGAGAAGGAAGAAAAATGTATAAGCTCGACCTTCCTGTAGATATGAAGGAAAGCGCTGCCATAGAGAGGCGACGGAATCGAGAGTTGCAGCGCCAAAGTAGGATATTCAACGCCCGTGTTCGAACCATTGGGGTAAGTGTTTATTTCTTGTTGATTTAGTTTGAAATGACGATAAGAACGCGAGCGAAAGTGATACTTGAAAGATTGCATTGATTTTAGAAAGGCAAGAGTAGTGTTTCTTATAATTTTGTTGTCGTATTCGTCTGAATGTTCTTGTTCTTTTAACTGGGAACGCGAAACTGGGTTCGAAAATGAACACCGATTGAAATTGAGCTAATCTGAACCACCTGTGGAACCGGTTTGGGTTAGCTGGTATTAGACTGTGCTATGGGTGTTTTGATGCCACTGAAACATTCTCAAGATTTTTCCTCGTTTTTATTATGTTTAGATTGACTTGAATGCGCTTAACGAGCAAGTGCAAGATCGTACACGACGCGAAGTTGAAGAGGAGAGGCGACATAATGCGTTTGGTAAGTATCCCTTTCCTGTAGTGTCTGACAGCTGCAAATAGAAAAATATTCCTCACAAATGGCCACGTTCTTTTCTTTTTGGTAATTTGAGAGGTAAACAATATCTCTCGAATAAAATGTAAAGAAAACTCTGAGGTTGTTAAGATAACACCAAGCTTAGCTTGCTGGCTTGGGTAACTCGGATGGCCGATGGCATATTTGCCAGAAAGTTATATCGAGATTGGCCCGTAGAAAAGCAAATACTAGAAATGCAAAAACTAGAAAAGTATTCCTCAGCCAGTCAGACTTTGAATCAGGGTTGATAACTACTATAATTGGATGTCAACGTAGCTATCAGACTTAGGCCCTGTTTACAAGCGAGGAGGGTAACCCTTGTGCTAGGGTTACCCTAGCAGGCAGGTCAAAGATAGCCCAGGTTTACAAGCAAAATTTCACAGATAGGGTTACCTACCACCCAGGACAACTTACCTATGCTTGGTAACCACACACATTGTTATCAATGTTCAAAGGGTCTGGAAACAAGTAAAAAGTTGTCCCGGGTTGGCAAGTTATCCCCAGCAGAGCGTTTACAAGGCAGCTAGGGTTACCCTGGTGCTAGGGTAACCCTAGCTGCCTTGTAAACACGGCGATGAAAAAAAAGAAGAAATGTGGGAGCATTAGGGTAACCCTCCTGCCAGGGTAACCCTAGCACTAGGGTTACCCTACCTGCTTGTAAACAGGGCCTTAGATGATAGCACGAAACAGTATGTTTGTGTATCCTATAATTAACAATTATTCCAGGAGTGCGCGTTGGATATGAGTTGGCTGTAATCATCTCATATCCAACAAGCGCGGGTGGAATGATTGTTTTATTAAAAATGCCCCCAAGATATTAGACAAATCTTAACAAATCTTAAATTTTTTAGCTCCCTTATAATTTTAAGCTGACATGTATGCTTACCATATTTGTAGATTATGGTATATTGGCTCATATACCATAATGGCTGAGCCAATAAAAAGTCTTGAATTGCATTATCCAATGATCCAGTTTTTAATAATTACTTTTATTAAAAACTGGATCACTGGATATGCAATTCAAGACTTTTTATTGGCTTAGCCATTATAGTATATGGGCCAATATACCATAATCTAATATCTGTACATTGCAGCATCCAGTTTTATCTTACAAAATAAAGTCGAGAAGATATGTCTAATATCTTGGGAGCGTTTCTTTTTTAATAAAACAATTATTCCACTCACGCTCGTTGGATAGATGATTATAGCCAACTCAGCGCTATGCCCCTCGTTGGCTATCTATTATCTCATATCCAACGCGCACTCATGGAATAATTGTTAAGTACACTGTACATGAAGTTATTTCAAATCATGTGTACAGTGCAGATTGGTATCTAGACTGATTCGATTGATACTTCCACTTTAAGTACTGTGCCGTCAGGAATCTTGAGTTGATAAATATTTCTACCCAAGGTCTTGAATAAGATCTGCCGGGTGGAGTTAGAGTTAAAGGAAAGAAACAGCCATTAGTCAGGATGTGTTTTAATTAAGGTGTCAACTAACTATCAGGCTGTGGAGACGACCAGCTTCTGGGTGATTGTTGGTCAACTTGTGACCATTGTAGTGACTAAGGCTACTAAAAGTAAACATGATCAATGTTCTATGTTTACTAACTGAAATCTTTTTTGTTACGATTACAGCTGCTGACATGACAAGAAATGATAAAATCACCATCTTACTTCAGAAGCGTCAGGAACATGATATGCGGGAGTTGAATAAGGCTGTGAATGAATTCCGTCAATCTCACCAGCAGCCAGATGGTAGACGTGAATTTGACTTGAATGATCCTGATAGTTTGAAGAAAGATAAACCTGCCAGGGTATCAGATGATGACCCTCGTTGTGGAGTGGCATCACTTCAGAAGTTTGTCGGGGAAGATTTGAATGGCAAGGCACGTGGAAAGTTACAGCAAGAACAGGCACGGTAAGGGAACTATCTGAGTAATTTTTTCTCTATTAAAAGGGTGCATGTTACAGCTGAGTGTTGGCATCAAAGTTGAAGTTACAATTTCCAAGACTGGTTCAGGTAAAATGATCAAGAGCCTAGCAAATTTCTTAACAGTAAAAGAGTTGCTTTATGCTACTGAACATCCATGCTGGGTTGCTGCAAAAATTGAACTCTAGATTTGGCATGAACCCTGTACTTGCAACACTTTTTAATTAAAAGTTAAATTTTTTTTATCCCTTTCTGATTATACAGGGAATGGATCAAACAACAGACAAATGAGAAAGATCAAGCTTTTGCAAATCAGAAGTATGCAGACCATCTTTATGATTTAAAGGCAAGAGAAATGGACCAAAGAGCTTGTGAACTTGCCAGTGCTGAAGCAGATTGCAGGCGCGCAATAAATATGGCAACTAAAGACATGAATCAAGCTTTGGCCAGAGAAAGGAAGGCAAAAGAAGATGCAGAGAAACAGCAGGAACAAGATGACAACTTCACTGAAATCTCTAACTCTTTGTTTGGCGACATGCTTACAGAAAATCCTGATGTGGCCCAGAGTGCCTTTGGACCTCATAGGGTGATCGCTGATCGCTGGAAGGGAATGACTCCAGCTCAACTGGCAGAGATAAGACGCATTCGACAAGCACAGATGGAGGAGAAGGAGGTCAGATAAGTGTGATGTAGTTTCCCCACTACTGTTGATCAAGATCTTCGATAATAATAATAATAATAATAATAAAAGTCTTTATTCCATCATAAGATAAAACTACATATCTTATGTTACAATGAATTTGGAAAAACTACAGAAATCTACATACATATTATGAATTAAAAAGTATGTCATTACAATTAATGGAGCTTAAATATCAACCTATTTACAAAGGTGTTCATAAAGCGATATGTTCTTGAAGCATTTTAAAACATGATTCTTTACATCAATCCTCAAAATGTGAGCTTCTGAATTTACCTTGACTGTTGAAGTTTCAAAGTTTGAGTTTCGAGTTGACTCTCAACTTACATGTACTTTTGAGTAGTAGTTACAAGCATGGCACAATGAAGTAGTGGACTCTCAAAGTCTAAAAATGATTAAAATAAATTGCAGATTCACCAGGGAAACTTTCTTAAGACAGGTTTCGGCATGACTCATGCAATCATCAGCTCAGTGACTGTTGAACCATTTAATTTTTTTTGTGTGTGTGTTACATGCAAAAACATTAAGTTATGGAATTCAATTACAATATTGAAATGAGTGCTGTTATGATAGTTGTTATGATTTACTTTAAGTTAATGTTGTCTACAGAGACTGAAACAAGAGGAAGAAGAGCAGGAGAAGGAATACAGTAGATTGAGGTTAACACAGGCCAAGGCAGGAATAATAGCAGAACGTGCAATTGAAAGAAAGAAAAAAGAGATTGAAAAGGACCAGGCAGATGAGAACAGAAGACTGGCAGCTGAACAGAGAGCCAAGTAAGTTTCCAAGTGATTTAAAAATCTCTAGCTACAATATGAAGGCAGCCAGGGTTACCCTTGGACCTTAACTGAGACAGTTTACAAGTTGTTGGTAGGACTGAAGTTTTTTTTTTTTGATTGGCTAAAAATGAGGGCATTGTTCTTGTAAAACACAGCTGCAAAGATGTAACACAAACTTGTGCAGTTGTTAGCTAACACTAACGCTGAGTAACACTTTATGTTATTATCTGTGCTTATTGCACAGGTATTTTGGAGAATGACCTGGGGGGAAAAAGGTCTTTGAAAAGACTAGCTTATTGCAATTGGTTGTCATCTTAAATGCATATGAAAGAGAAATAAGATTCAGACAACAGAGAATTTAACTGCTTTATCCTCTGCTTTCCTTTCAGAATGGATTATCTTGACAGCGAAGTCTACACCAATCCCCCTACAGCAGCTTACTTTATGCAGTTTAACACGACAAGTAGATGAGGAACTCTCAATATTTTATGAAAAGCTGTAACAGTTGTGATAATGCATAAAATTATAAGGGAAACATGCAATTATTTTTGACAACTTTGTCAGCTCCACAAAATAGAAATGTTAAAGAGTTTTATACAGTTGTCACAATTTTATTGACATTTCAATTGTACTATTATAATATTTCTTTCTAACCTGTCTTGGTTGTAATGTACATTTAGTTTCTAGTATGTTCAAGGCATTTAATAAAGAGTCTCTAAAGACTTATGACACCAATAAAAACATGTGATTGTCCACCACTTGTTTAACATTTTACTCCCCAACATCAGTATGCATAATTATTCTCCATACATTTTGTAGTGACAAGGTTATGACAAAGAGAACTTGGTTAACAATCAAGAGCTTCTTTAGTTGGTGATTATTTCCTTTATTCTCATGACTTTAATGTTTGATTCAAAGCTGGTATTGTGAGGAGAAATTATGTGCTAGTCACTCTTGAGTGACTTTTTGATGAACTTGTAGATTCTCCTTGCACTTTGGCAGGTAGTCTTTTGTGAAAGAGAGAGAAGCAGAGAGTGCATCAAAAGCCTTCAGAGGCATTTCTCTGCACATTCCTTTAACCCTTTGAGCCCTTATAAGACACACCTAATTTCACCTTACAATAATTATCACCCCTGAATCACACATTAAGCTGGGGTGTCATTAAGGGCCAGGCATAGGGCCAATTGACTGGCTGAGGACACATTTGCCCACCTGGTTTGACCATCAAGAGGAAGTCTGAAAACCTTAATAAAATCCCTGATTGAGGTCATTATAGAATGAATCTAAAGTAATCACCAACTAAAGAACCTCTGACTCGTATACTTCTCTGAACTATAATTTTGATGAATTTCATGTCAGCTTTATTCATTAATTTTTTCAACTCACTTCGGATTTCTGAAATTTGACTTCTATAATCTTGAAACAAAGAAAAATTTACAGTAACAACAGGCTACCATTTAATTCTGAGATTTCTTCTAAACTATACCAGCTTCACTAAACTCTTTATATGTACATCATTTCTTAAATATATTCAGTTAGAAAAAAATAATGAGAAATAAAACCTGGATTGCATTTTAATTAAAAATTCTGACTCCTGAATTTTCTCTAGAAATGTCCAGAGAGTACATTAATACTATTTATTTGACTAGAATGAGGCTTAAAAATATACTGGTGAGACAATAACATTTTTATTCATATTTACATCAAACTTATTGTTAAGTGTTGGAAAAAAAAAGCCCAGTCCAGTGCTGCCAAGACAAATCCTGTTTATAAACAAATACTTGCTACTAATCAAAGCGGTCAATCCCAAGCAGGCAAGTTAGTCCCATCTTACCCACTTGGGTAGCCAACCAGAACACAGATTTTGCTTCATAGTACCCACAGGCCCTACTAGCTGTATAATAACAGTTAATATCAAAGTTTCAGCTTCTTCAAATTTTATCAGTTAATACTTCAGCATAAGTAATATTTCACTGTACTTTCAATTCATAATTTGTGGAACATAAACTTGTAAATCTCAATTACAGATTGTTCTAAAAGGTGTTATAGGTCATTCTACTTTCACTCTTGTTTCTGTTTCCCCTTGGTCCTTTGGAATAATAAAATCAGACAGTTTGTATCATAATCATTTAATCTTATGTTAAGTTCACATTAGGTTATGGGAGCACAAACTGGAAAGAGTTGATAAGGGTTTAAATTTCATACATTTTTCCTGAGCACATGATAAAATGGGTATCCAGTCGTTTTGTGCCCACAGTCATTTCGTACCCAGTCAATTCATAGTGACCTTAACAAATACATATTAATATCTTATCTGGAGGAGATGCTTTAGCTGGCTGTATAGTGCTCAATATGTAAAGTAGAGCATAAATAGAAATAGTAAAATCAACAACGAAACAAAGTTTCCATGACTTGTAGTTTCATGCTTTCGCAATCATCAGACGGTCTGATGATTGCGAAAGCATGAAACTACGAGTCACGGAAACTTTGTTTCGTTGTTGATTTTACTATTTCTATTAACATCTTATTAGATGTTTTGTTGTGTAGTGTGGCTGAGTATTTTTATGGGTTGTGCCATATTTTGACAAGCCTATAGGGTGAGTCAAAACACAAACAATGAGTAAAAATATTCAGCGATACTACACAACAAAACATTCAATATGAGATCTTTTATCCAACATGCTAAATTGTTATTTAAGTTTGGGTAAATTTTGCAGATATTTATTTACAGGGAGTGCACAACAGAACAAATGCAAAGCGGAACATAATTGGCGTGTTGTCATGTTGCTGTTTCTATTTTCTTCAATAAATGATGAAATTTGATGGCATCTAACTGCTTTTCTTCGTTTGTTTTAAGCAAGAAAACCTGTCTAAACAGTTCTCTGGGGTACAAAGACTGTGAGATAAAAATAATTATGTACTCACTTTGGGCCTTATTTGTATTCTACATACTACAGTTGGATAATAAACTTATTTATTAACTAGTGCTAGGTAACTGTGATATTTTTAATCGAACAGTCTATTATTTATACTAATGACTTTCTTAACAATAGCAGCAACTGTGGGTGATTTTTTGCGCCGCTTATTTATTCTTTTAGATTATTATTTCAACTGACTGGGAACGAACTGACCTACCTGGGTCTGAAACAGCTGGTAACAACAAAGAGGGACCTAATACCTTATTACATCAACAGTATCAATTGAGGGTCTGACCTGGTTTCTAACTACACTGAAAATAACAAATGAATTTAGTTTGTCAATGATAATGGCTTAAAGCCACTTTTTAAAGTTTATTTGACAAATCCTACTTAACTGTGATTTGTGATCCTGTAAGTGCCATTTTTGGGGTCAATTCAAAATTACATTTTAGAAGTGACTAAGAATTAATTTTCCCTAACAATGAAAACATTTTCATGCAGAAAGGTAATCAGAAATCAGAGATGTACATGCATCAATTTGGAGAAATTGATTTTAGTTATCTAACACAAACTTCTGGAAGCTAAAGTTATACAAAACAGATTACAAAAAGTATAGAAAATTGGTATTTGCATCTTGGTAAGGACAGAGTAATAACACAGAGTGATTTCATAATTTGCATTTTAGTGCGAGAACCTTACCAGAATCTGAATAATTGCAGCTTATAAGGCCCTGTTCCTGTAAGTTTAGGATAGAGTCTGCAATAATTCTCGCAGTTCTCCTCTGAAACAAAAAGACAAGGCATGATCAGTATAACTAGTTATATGGCAGTGGCATATAAATTTCTTTCTACCAAACATACTGGTAATCAAATAATAAAACTAATGACAAAAGTACTATTAAATTCTATTTCAGAGTAAATGTAACACAATTATTTTCAACTTGCAAGGTTTAAAATTGTATTTGTTATCCTCTTCCAAACTGCTCGCTTCAATTCAAATTCTTCAAAAGTATGTAACTTCCCTTTACAGTTATAATGTCTTAAATCAAATATAAAGGTCATGAGAATGAAAAACAATGGTCACCAACTACAGAAGCTCTTGATTGCCGACAAAAATCTCATTTTCAGCACCTGAAGAAATGTATAGAGAAGAGTACGGAGAAAAACAAACTGATGTTAGAGTGTAAAGGATTACGCATTCATATTCTTTTTTTTTTGGTTTTTTGTTAGTTTTTTCTTTCTAATTTGTAACATACCTGGTATCCTCCAGAGGTCAACATAAAGATTGGAATGCCTCTCTGCCGAGCTTCTTGAAACACAATTTGATCTCTCTCAATGATTCCCTGCAAGGTGATCACGGTTTTTGTCGCTATTGTTAACTATACATGTACACAATAATTATACTTTACATTTATCAGGTTTGTATTAGTCCTGAGCCAACCCCTGGGGTTTTGCCTCTTGCCTCACCCATCACCTAAGAAGAATATAGATATTAGCAGGCAGATCATTATGATTATTCTTAACCTCTCAACTCCCACAAGTGAACAAGACAGAATTTCTCCATAAAATATCAACACAATATCAAGCAGACAAGTCATGGGAATAAAGGCTAGTATCAATTGGGGGGATTATTTGTTGATCAAATACCAAATTCTCTGATCTAGCATCACAGGAATTGTATGGGAGAAATTATTACTAATTAGATCTTAGGAGTGAAAAGGTTATTATGCCAGTTGATATTTGTTGCCTCTCAAATAATGCACAACAATTATAAATTAATCTTTTGTCACCCTAAACTCTTCAACTCCCAAGATCTGATTATGAATTCACCTCTCTAGTTGCTACAAATTTCCTTGTAAATTGGTTACAAGAATTTGGTGTTCAATCAAGGTAGCAACTTCTACCTGATAAGTTTGAGTATTCTCATTACCTGTTTGCTGGATCATGTAGGGATATTATAGAGAGAAGTTACAGGTTAATCACTTCTGGGAGTTAAAGGGTTAATTAACTCTAACTGTTATACTCTACTGAGTATCTTCAGTTCAAGCTTTCACATACTTGTGGTGTTATTGCCAAGTTACCAAGAGGATCCCCAATAAGAATATCTGTCCCTGCAAAGAATTCATTTACAGTACATGTAGTCAAGAACTTTAAAAGAGCTTTGTATGTAATAATACCGTGTATATAGTACTCCTTTTCTAGACATTGGTTTTTCTCGTGTTCCTAGAAGACCACAATCAAACTGCCTTTCTCAACACAGCCCACTGTACAGGTAAAAAGAATTCATCAATAAATTTAAGTTGCCTCCGCTCAAACTGTTAGTGATTTCTTCTAACTTGTTCTATCAACAATTGGCAAAGAACAGCTGCATCTATTTTATGTCAATGCCAATTAAAGATTTCAGAAAAAATTAAACTCCAATTGAGAATATATATAATATCATAAAATTATAATTTATTAGAGAATACTAGACGGACTGAAAAAGGTACATTATGGGGTTTGGATTCCACAAATGGATGCTAAGCTGGTGGCCAAGTTTTTCAATTTGTGTGTCACTTAATGTCAATCTACAATTTAAGTTTTACTGCTGACATAAGGAATCCACTGTCTACTTTTTTTTTTCTTCTGCCTACCAAAAAGTAAAATAATAAATAAATAAATACATTTTGGAAAGTTCTAGGGATGGAATTCCATATTTGCATACCCTTTTAAAGTTGATGAGACAGTACAATGTACCTGATCGGGTAATGCCTACACTGTAGCTCACCTGCATTATATGCTATGATATCAGGATTAAACTCATTTAAAGCTTCTGGTATGTGCCTAAACAAAGAAATGGAAGTGTGTGACCAGTTATGAAGAAATCTATAAGTTACAACAATGTACTCCAAGTCATATTTAAAAGACAATCATGCGCTGACAAGTTCCACTATTGCCTTTACATGTACTTGAAAACAGATGATAAACCTTGTTAATCAGAAGGAGACAAATGAGAAAATACTTCAGTTGTAAAAATAGTAGGCATTTTATCACCAAAATTAAGAAGAAGTCGAGGTACAGTCATGTAGAACAAAATAATTAAGAACAGCCCCTTTACTTCTTCAACAGTGGAATATATGTTTCATCATCTGTATGATGTCTTAGCTGCACATTCTTCTTTATTGCTCCTGAGGAAAAATGATTAGAAATCATTAATTAATTCAAGTACCAGTGTAGGGTCATCAAGATAAAAAGCATGCAAGAAAAAGATGCACAGATGTTGCTAAATGACATAGTCTAGAGCAACTCAACTAGCTTCTTGGGTGTTTTTATAATTTCTGAATGACAATGCTTCATATCTAAATGAAAGAATGGCTGACCCATGAACAATAAAACTTATTAATGAATACATTAACTGTAACAGTTGTATTTATTTAACTTAAGAGATATATCCTCTGCTACACCTCAACACTAGCAAATGATTGTTCTGATGAAAAATATACCAGAAGTAGGTTCTTTTTTTACCAAACTCATGTATAAATGGGATCAGAGAGGGATTCCACTCCCTCCCCCCACCTGAATTTCCTGAGGGAGCAGGCCTCACTGGCACCTCTTAACAACCACATTACTGAGATACTTATAAATCCAAAGGAATCTTCTTTTTGGGAATACCTGTACATATTTTTATCCAAGGCTAAGGAGTATCCTTTTTTTACAGGGCTGGGGGAATTATGCACTATTTTATGAGAAATTATGCACATTTCTTCTGTGATTATGCGCCAAATTTAGCAAATTATGCACAAATTATGCACAAATTATGCAATTTGTGCAATATTAAAAGTATTGAATTTTACATATCTTTTTAATTTATATGTAAGTCCATATTAAGAAAACCTAATTATTAATAATTATTTGCCAGGATATTGCTTAACTCTCTCTTTGGCCATTATATTGTAATTTTTTTTCTCTGGTTTGAAAAAACTTTCCATTTTAAACACGAAAAGAACAGAAAAGAATACTTTTAGCAAAATGGCACCATTTTTCTTTCGGAAGCATTGATTGGTTCTTTTTCCTCCAATCATACTACTTGTAATTCAACAATTAGAGCCCAGTTCCCCAGCAGCAAAAGACAAGAGGCCTGTTTCATTTTACTTGTTTTCCTGCATGTTTGAGACGATCTTTTCAATTAAAAATACAGTTTTTGCCATCAAAATTCACTACAATTTGAAAAACTATAATTTTAAAAAGTTTTGAAGGTAGTTAAATTTATCTTTTAGGATATATTTTTTTTGAAATATCGAGAATTATGCGGAAATTATGCACTTTTTACAGGATTATGCAAATTATGCATTTGAGCTAAAATTATGTGCTTTTGCATCGGCTCATAACTCTCCCAGCCCAGTTTTTAGGATCTCTGAAAATAAGAAAATTTTTTTTTCCCTCAAATGTCACCAAATACGATGAGTAGCAGGTGTGTTACCTTTGACTTTGGTATCCCCTGGGTAAATGTAAGCATTGTAGACGTCTATGATATACACCTGATCATCTCCATTAAAATCAGCTTCATGACCATTACCCTGACAAAAACAACAATGCATCAGAAAATATTTATGTTGTAGTTCAATTTTATCCTTGGTTCAAATTTTACTTTCCTTTATTCTCGGTCACGTTAATGTATGATAATGAGTTTGAAACAAAGGAAAATAAAATTTGAACCAAGGATAAAATTGAACTACAACATTTACACTGGTCAGAGTATAGTTCTTTCATAATGGCAGACTTGATAAATTAAATATATTATTCTTTTCCATGCATGAAAACTACATGTAGCCCTTTCATCTTCACATTTGAGAGGAAATGCTTTTGTTTCTAAACATGTTGTCCTGGCCAGAAGGCCTAAAATACATACATTGCAATGAATTAGAGTAATTGGACCTGCCAGTAATGAAAAGTGGTCTATGCTTGTAATGATACAGTCAAGCCCCTTCTCTGCCACTTTTGATCACAGTATGTTCAACCAGGCCTTCTTTTAAAGTGATGCCTAGTGCCAGGTTATCTGAATTCCACAGGCTAAGCATTGTGTTTCTGCATCAAATAAACAATACCTGATGGGCATCGAGATCAAGGATCATGGCTTTATTCACACTATCCACATGCTTGAAAAGAAACTGAAAAAAAGAAAAAATTGGAGGAACAACTACTCAGAAATCTTCATAAATACTGAGCCTTAACACTTTCAAACTTCAACACTTTCACATTATCATCCTTCAAGTTTAAGGTAGCTTTGATTTCAAATCTATGTGTCAAAAAAAGCCATTATAAAATTAGTATATTGTCAGTAAGAGAGCTCCTTTAAGAGAGGCTAAATAAGAAAACAAATTTGTGAGCCACATAGCTTACCTTGATGGCTAATGTTATATCTGCATAAGCACAGAAGCCCCCTCCTTGGGACCCAGAGCAGTGATGGAATCCACCCCCTTATGGCATGAAAAATGGAAAAAAAAAATCATTGACAGTCCTACATTTTCACACCAACATCCAGACCACAGATCAAAAAAATACAAAGTTACACCATATCAATTAGGCATTATAACAGACATAGATGAACAAGGATCATACCAATATTTATTGCCCAGCCTCTTTCAATTGCAAGCTTAGCTGCCTGGTGGAATAAGAACGTAAACATGCACGTATGAAATAAAATTAAATTTCTGTATTTACTGTATTTCCTCAAACAAGCACCATGGGGCTTACTTAAAATTTCGGCTAGAAGTGGGGGTGCTTTTGGAAGGATAGTGCATATTCAAGGGGGGACACTTAATCATTATCAACTATTTTCATCAAATGCATCCCAGTAATTTTATTATCATAAAAACTACAGCTCATCAAGGCTAAAGAATAGTCCAGTTGTTCCTGGAAGTTTATAACATTTACCATGAACACATGAAGAGCAGCTAGTACATGGGGATAGAAATGTATGGAAGTGATTTAACCGATAAGGAAATATTCTCCTGTACAAACTGCAAAGTGGTTCAAGCTTAGTAAGTTGTAAGTAAAGTGGCAATAGAAATAGGTTTCCCTTGTAACCCTACTAATAAAGAAAGTGAGGGACTAGGGAGGAGCACTTATTCAAGAGGGTGCTTGTTTGACATTATGGCCTAAGAGGTGGCCGCTTACCGAGGGAATGGTGCTTGTTAGGGTGAGGATGCTTATTAGAGAAAGGATGTTTATCAGAGTGTGGGCTCATATTTGAGGAAATACAGTACCCTAAAATCAAATAAGTCACTACTTTTGTTACAAGGATCGAAATTGTCTGGAAAGTTCGCGAAAGTCAATGTCACGCGATATGTTGTTTCAAGAATTTTCTAGAACTGTGACTCAGTTTAAAAATAGAGTTTATTGTAATAGTTATAAATATTTACTATTGTAATGGTTATAAATGGAAACTTCTAGACTCTCTTCGGATGCTTATATAAGCAGCTCGCTAGTCGGGTTGTTGTTGTGATTTGGCACTTCGTTCCCTCTTTGTGATCTTTAAGTGATATTGTGTGACAAGTGACAAGTGAAGGGATTTTCCCGTTTGGATGAGACTGACATTCTGCTGTCAAGTCCAGAGTTGTTTACCATGGAGTGTGATACTGCGAAGGAAGTCTTCAGGAGATTTCGCCAAAGAGAAGGACAGTACTTTGCTTGTGGTCAGATAAGCGTAGAGAAGTACATAGTTAATTTTAGTTGGATTGTTCCAGGAGTAGTCGCTAGCTCGTTTTAAGTTATCTCCCGTTGTTTACAGTTAAATAAAATGTGTTTCGTGGAAATAGCAAGGTTATTATCTTTCTGCCAGTAATCAGTTACCGTAACACTTTGAAATAATTTTTGTGAAATAATGGACCTTGGGCTTACATGTCAAATGATAACAATTTGGCCAGCATGCATATAATTAATGTTTATATATCAAAATAATCTGGCAAATTTACCAGTATTGATCCACCAGTCTGAATCCTCATTGGCCTGAGGACTTTACGCTGCACAATAAAGTTTGGCAGAAGGGCAAGGGGAGGCACTTCACATATCATGGCAACACGGGCACTCCACTGTAAGTGAGATGTACAGCAAATTATTATCCAGTTAATAAATAACAGGGCTAGCAATGTTCTACAGTGCACTGTACTTGTACCAACAAACAAATTAAAACAATTAAATGGTCAAGATGATTGAAGTGAGTAGTTCAAAAAGCTTTGACTCATACAAGCTAGACCTGAATTGTAATAATAGAGGGGATAAGCTTCTAAAAGCAAATATCCAAAAGGAAAATGACTGCATAAGCCTCTGGAGTTTATTCTTATAAAAAAACACCTTTCTCTGTATCAATTACTGGTAGTCTCCATTGTATTGTTTATTTTAATTGTTATGCACAACCCATACCCTTGCAAGTTTCCTTATAGAGCCATCGATCAATTACATCCCTAATAACTGCCCAAGAGTAACATGATTCTAACTTAGACATGGCCACCTCAAATCACTAACACTCTCTGAGCTTCCAGGTTTTTCAAGCTTCTGGTTGTTGGCTGCCATAGTTTTTGTTGAGATTCAACTTAATTCAATTCAAATCAATTCTCTACGATGGCTTATCTTTGAGGAATTTTCTATAAAATAATGTATAACCCACACTCCCTTGTGGAAAACCTTAAAGCAAGTATTCACAGTGGCTAATTTGCTAGAATATAAAGTTATTAATAAGAAATGTTTATGGAATACTTATACATTCAGAACTTTGTTCAGGAGGCCATAAGCAGAGATGTCCACCTCTGGGGTTGTCTTTAACAGTAACTGTTGTTCATTAGAATTTGAAAACCTACTGAAGATATCTAGAAGATTATTCTCACCCTTAGGCTATCTAAATAGCTCTCTGTGTGTACAACCAACAAATCATCATTGGTAGCTTCTCTGGGTGTCACAACAGTGCTATCATCTACCATCTTTGCATCTAAAACACAAAACATTTATCAAAAATTCAATTTTAACAGGGAGCACTTGAAATTCATCCACAACCACCATAATTTTAAAGATAATTTTAAAAAAACCATACCACATCCTCAAACAATTGACTATCAGTTAAAAAATGTCTCACAATAATTGGCAGGTGGTTAACAAAATTTAATTTTATTCCTACTTGTTTTGTCCATACAGCTACCGCTAGTAAAAGGGAGACCTGGTTGAGGAAAACACTCTTTTTTTAAGTGCATCAAAGTAATTATACTTCAAAAGTTAATAATAATAATAATAATGATGATGATGATGATGATGATGATAAGAAGAAGAAGAAGAAGAAAAAGAAGAACATGATAACAATAACAGTAATAAGGAATAAATAAGGAAAGTATTACTGATTGAGATGAGCTACCCATGGACAAAAAATCACGACGTGAGAGCCATTGAGAAGGCAACTAAGTATGGACCACCTGGGTGGGAGCACCAGGAGAGATATCCAGGACAGCATGTAAACCAGTGCAATATTATCATTGATGCGCTGGGAGGATATTTACGGGAAGTTAGCAAGGCACCGAAGGATCTTGTAGGAGACTTCAGTTGATGAGTAGCTTTCCAGATGTAGAATTCCATTTTCACAAATTCACTTCATAAATTATCATGCCCTCAGTCAAGATTTTAAGCTGAACATTCAAGTTTCAAAATACATATTCATATATATAGACAATATTAGGATAATTTTTAGAGCTCCAGTCACTAGGAACTTTTTCCTATTTTCAAGAGCAAGAATTTTTATTAGGTCTGAACATATCACCTGTCATCAACAAGTGAATCATTTACAAATGAATGCAAGCACATCAAGCGGATGTTTACAAAACTCAAGTACCCACTGAATCTCGTCAACTCAGCTATCGCCATGTACAAGAATTCTGCAACCTAAGGCCATCATGAAACTCCAACTGCAACTGACGCGGATTTACAAAAAACCATCAGGATAATTTTGCCATTTAAGGAGGCTGGAAAGGGTTTTCCACAATTAACAGCAAGTGCCAAACAGTAAAAGATATCGGGACTGTCAAACTTATCATCAGGATAATGACTTGACATATGCATAACACTATGTTAGGGCAATCTTTTAAGGGGGTTCGTCAGGCATTATCTGTTGCCATGGCAACAGTACAGTAGTGCTAAAAGACCCTCTAAAACTCAGTTTTTGAAAGATATCTCAAAAACCAAGTTGCTGACCTAGTTTTTTTTTTCAAATTTCTTAAACATCATCACATTCTCTACCTGTATACATGATATTAAAAAAATTATCTAGTAGAACTTGAATTATTTAGGAAAATGCTGTTTTAAAATGTAAACAAATTTCCACTAGATAAATTTTTTTAAAATTTTCTTCAGGAACGCATAATGATGAAATTAATTTGTACACAAAAAAATCAGGGTAGGTCACCAAACTAATTTTCGAGATGTTAGTTCATCAACTTAGCAAGCTTTATTTCCAGTTTTTGCAATTTTAGCTCACACTTTTATATCCGGTCACACGTTTTAAACAATACCGCTGACTCAAGGGCTCATTTTCACGAGGATGAGTCCGGCCGTGTCCGCGGATCGATGGATGCCCTCAGCATGGAAAATATTGTTCATCCTGAAGATGGATTCACATTGTTTTGTGATTTTACACATTCCTGAAAAGTGAGTCATCATTTGAGACTCAGACTGCTTACCGTTCCCAGAGTTGGAAATGAACTCCAGAGAGAAACTCCGGAGAGAATTCTCTAGCGGAATTGAATTCGATATATGATGCCAAGTTGATTTTGCAGATGGTGCCAAGGCCAGTACTCCATTGAAGCCTTTAAATGTTGAGTTTCTTGTACAGAGATTGTAGTGTAACATGAGACAAACCAGCATCTGCCAGCTTCTGGACCATGTTTGTCGAAAGATGAAGATTTCCATCGAACGTCTGGATGGTATCTTGTCGCTGTTCCGAGAAGATGGCTTGATCGAAGGCCTCATTCGACAATGCACATTTACCATGATTGACTGATACAATTGTTCATATGCAATTTGAAGTGGAAGAGTGAAAACAATTTGGAGTGAAAAGAATTTGCTTTGATGAAATTTCTATCATTTTCGAGGTACTAGAGGTATGAACAAGCCTTGACTTCATTTTTCTTTTTTTCTCTTTGCCACTGTCATAACCGTGAACTTTCATCATTCCGTTTAATTGGAAAACAAAACAAATTTTGCAATCCTTTCTTAACAAATGCCAGTTTTCATTTTCGTAGTTGTAATTTACAGTTTATCAAGGGAAATATTTACAATCTTTCTCGCAAGTTAAAGATGAATATTTTATTTTAATTTACCGTCTGTGGTTGAATTAGAATTAAAGTCTCATCTACATTTTTACGATCTCTTGTTTACTGAAAATTATGTTTATTTTTGTGGCAATGTTTACACTTCTTCATTTCTGTTAATAAAACTGTCAATGTTTACTATCCTGGACCAACAATAATTTCATTTTCCTTTTCATCTTCCAGTGAGTTGTTTTCGAAAGTTTTCGGTCATTTCATTTTATTAGGAATCAAATTCAATGCAAAACAAATCCTAGCACTCAGAGGTATCCACCTAAATTTTTCGCTGAACAAAGTAAGATCTACCGAATGCACTTGACGCGACTTTATTGATGGGATGTCGACTTCACAATCCTCCTTTCACTCATTAAATAAAATTTTTTCAACCACTTTTGGCAAGAATCCCACCATCCGAACAGTTTCCTTCTTGCTTTCAAGAAGTAAACTTTCCATTTTTGTTTCTCAAACAACCACCTCTACTGGAAATAATAGAGGTGCCGGCAATTTTGAAACGCTCATGGCAGCCATGTTACAACTCGCCCACGGATCTGATCGCACACACTATCGCTTATTTCTCTCGCGAGTAATTAGCTTGCGTGTATCTTGGAATCCATTCTCTGTGCGGTCAAAAAAAACCCTTTCGAGCCTCCTTAAAGACCAAAAATCGGCCCATGCAGCAAGACAACAGTTGAAAGATCTTAGCCAAGAAATCTGAACTAACCTACAACCAGTCTTCACAAGTCACAAGATCTAGGAAAAGCTTAAGATACAAGAGGAGAAACCTGCTTAATCAATCACCAATGCCTTGTTTACATTATTTTAAATGTGATTTGTGCGATGCAGATTATATCAGTTACACCACACGCCATCTTCACCAACACATACAGGAGCATAAGCCTCGGTCATTGGCAGGCATATGAAGGAAGTCCATGGTGTAGCATTCACTGACCTCGCCAAATTGTTTTCCATTCTTAAGAAATGCAGAGGAAAACTGGACTGCCTTATTCAGGAAATGCTATTTATTCGTGAACGGAAACCGAAGTTAAACACACAGTCAGACTCAATACGTGCAAAAGTATTTATTTAAACATAATACCGCCCACACTGACACGTCAAACACCAATGACAACTAAACAATTATTATTCTAATGTACTCTATCACCTTTGTTTGTATTTAATCTCGAAACTACAACTAACACTCCTACTTGATAATGGAGTCAAGATGACTTCGAAACATCGTAGTTTTATTATAAATATTTATTATCAAGTGTATTTTGAAATTTTCTCTTATTAATATATTGATTCTTTTAAAAATGCAAGCAGGTTGCATTTAACCTTATATGACTCAAAAATACAGGATTCCATTTCCTACCTTTAAGATACTGAAAAACCTTCCCCCATTTTCCTGAATCAAATGGATGAAGCCTTTCCAAACCCATGAAACCAATATTATAGTCATCAGTGTACACAATGGGCCATTGATTGATTTTTGCTTCTACATACAAATGACATTCCTGATCACTAAGACAAAAGAACAGAAAAAAAGGAAAGAGTTGACTGTTGATATAGCTCAATGGGTAAGGGCATTACCCACAGCTAAATCCAGGTTCTAAAATGAAGAATTCCTACTTTGCATCTTTGAAATATCATAAGTTTGTTCCTTGTAGCCTGAAAAGTTTTCCCATCCTTGTAATTATTTCATTTATAACAGTTTAGAAGTTTTCATTACTTCTTCAGTTTTCATTTGCTGTTTTTTTTAACCCAACTGAAAATTAAGATTTGGATATATCAACAAAGTTGAAATGGTAAATTAGCCACCGTAATGATTACAAAAGCTGACGTTTCGAGCATTAGCCCTTTGTCGGAGCGAAGGGCTAACGCTCGAAATGTCAGCTTTTGTAATCATTACGGTGGCTAATTTACCATTTCAACTTTGTTGATATATCCAAATTATTTCGTTGCTCTCACCGACGCAGCCCCAAACAGTTTCTTTCGAAACTATCAGCCTTTATTCAGTTGAAAATTAAGATGTTTACAAAATCCTGTTTCCCTGTGTAAGTTGTGAAATTATTTCTGCCTCTATCATAGTGTTAAGGGCTTCCCTGAAATATATTTCTCCTTAAAAATCGTTTGGTAGAATAATATCTCTCAGACATGCATTATTTGCCTTAAGTCAGTATACAATACAGAGGCCACATGATTCTCTATTTTACCCAAATACATTAGATACCCCTGCCTTCCACCAAAATAAAACCTGTTTGTCTTGCCACAATGTTCCCACACCAAGCTTTTAGATGTCTACTAACATAGCTCACACATTTATTCATGATATGGGGTATCTAATTCCTCTAAAGCAATGACCTTTAGGATTAATAAGGGTCCCTACAAACTTGCCCCTTATCCCCTTTTAAAAAATATGTTTTGTGACATTATCCAGCAGAACCAAAGATCCTTGTAGAAAATAGCTCCCTGGTGTTTTCTATAAAGGGTTTCATTAAAATTGAGTCAAGGAAAGACTACTCCCCTCAAGCTGGCCTACAGGAAAGACTCAACTACATTCTTTAAGAAGTCTTAGAAGTCTAAATAATGTACACACAATCGAAACGAAATGAAAGTAGGCTCCCTGTTCAAGAGCAGGCTTCTCTGATCTATCTAGTAGCTTGCATTCAAAGTCTTCGTTTAATTAAACATATTTCATTTATGAGCCTTTGATTTCAACAGCTAAGAATGTTATAGGCCGATAACTCAGAAAGCGAGCGATCTTTTTGAATGATAATCTTGCATTGTGTCCCTGAAAACAGCTGTCAGTTCACAGAAACTTCATCAGAAGGAACTCTCCCCCACCCTCTATCTACATCATGTAATAAAGGCGATCGGAAAGAGATTATTTTCGAAAAAACTTAACTTCGCGACACGATTTCACTTTTGAGTCACCTTTGCAACAAGAGCTCGCTTCAACACACTCCTGACATCTTACAATATGCCCTCAATTTAAAAACTCGTTCATTTGACTTAGAAACGTACTCAAAGGTTGATAATACAACTGATAAAAAATGTACCATCATGCTTACCTGTCATGTTCCTCTTTGGTGAGTTTCTCAAGGACTGACATGTCACGTCTCGTTTGCCAATAACAGTTATCACTAATGCATTATGTAAGGAGAAACTCCATGTCGAAAAGCTAACGTAAAGAGAAAAAGGATTTGTATGACTTGACCCGCCATTTTGGTTTTTCGTATCCAGGACCTCGCCACGCAGGAGTGTTGACGCAGGGACTTGATCCAATTTTGCTAGAATGCGATAAAAGTTGGCATAAATTAACGCTTACAAGCAGTCCAGCTAGCAGCAGGGGCCCGTTTCTCCAAAGTCCCGGTAATTTAACGGCCCCGAAGCCATATTTCAAAATCAAAAGTTAATCAACAGAGAAGAAGGTCGACGTTGAAAAACGTGGTTAGCACTTCCTTTTGTTCCGCTGAATAAACTAATCGGGATTGCCTTTCTATTTTAAAGTTGAAAAGTCAGACGCCGGTCCTAGGACACAATAACCTAATAGTTTACGTTGTGAACAAAGCGGCTTGTCAATTAAAGGGGTCAGTGGAGGGCGCTTACATTTATTGCATACGTGATGGGCCCTACTTTGACCACCCGTATGCGTTAAGTGGTTGATTACGAGCGAATCGGGTGGTTTTTTAAGTGGGTTGGGGACTGGGTACTTTGGGCGTATTGAGGTGAGGAAGGAATGGGGTTTTTGGCTGCGACTCACGAACCCAAGTCTTCGATCTTCCACAAACGGCAAGGGGCATATAACACGGAGAAACAAATTTCCTGCCTGCTATTTTAGTTGCAGCAGCTCTCGACTCTTGAATCTTAATTGAAGTTTGTAAAAAATACTGTGGTCTGCAAATTTCTGTGTATGACACGTTTGAAAGAAACCTCGCATCACTTTTTATAATGAACTCAAACCAGATGCTACAATTTAAAAAAAAACTTTAGCCATGATGATTCATCAGGAAATTTTCCAATAAGCCCTCACCCACTTATTTACGTTGAATCCTGAAATAAACCTGTAAAACAAGGCAAGGAGTAAAGACAGGGAAAGAGGGAAGGTCCCAGAAAAGGAATGAGAGACTAAAGTTTATAAAAAGAGGCCAGAGAGATAAAAAAAAAATGGGTAGGAAAGAATCATGATAGACAAGAAAAATAACCTGATTAGGCAAATATTTCTCTTTAATAAACCAAACAAAATTTAGGATTTAATCTCTCCTTTGCGATGTTAGAACCCTGTTGGTCTAATTTTCATTTCCGCTCTCTTGACAGAGTAGTAGCTACCCTTCCAGTGAAACCAGCTTACACCATCAGCATTTGAGTGTTTTCCGTGATGATATTGACCATTCAAGTTCGAATGGTAACAACTTTTATACCACCAAGCTCCTTTATAGTTTGCAGCACAGTTACCACTCTTGTTGACGTCATTATCCTGATCTTTAGTTGTGAAGGGGTAACCACGATGATAGGAAAGAGAATCACCAGCTGTACCTGAAATTTGCTAAAACCGTAAAATTAATATTTTAACTGCTAACTTAGGGTCAAATTTAGAGTTTCAGATAATTAAAAGATCATTTTATTTTTCAAAAAAAATTGAATCTTAACTTCTCTTGCCCATTGTCAATCATAACTTATTTCCTCCCATGTAAAACTGAGGTGAATAATTTCTGAATTGTGTTTATCAGAGAATTTATAATGATTCTAGATTAGCAACAGCATTTGCGGATGGCTTAGCTCTAAATAAAGGAAAACACAAAAAAGAGAAAGAGAGAAAAGTTTTGGGGACAAAAATTAAAAACTTTTTCCCATCTTTAGGTGAGGAAAACAATGCGATTTATAGAAAAGAAATAGTGTGATTCGTGAGTTAATCACACTGCTGAAAGCCAATCATATCGCTTCGCTATTTTGCGGTAGGGATCGTTAATAATGTATTTTAAAAAAACAAATTTGTTGTCATCGTGATTTCAAAGTGGATGTAATAATGTATTTTAAGGAAGAATAACTTATTATTGCCTGAATTCAATTGCTTTGGATATTAAAAGCGACCTAAACATTAATAGATGACCTCACCCAGGTAAGGTCCAAGACTGAGCTGGTACTTAGTCATCTCATAATGTATTTAAAAAAAAAATTTATTGTCATAGTGATTTCAAAGTGG